ATCATAACCAATCCTGTGTGCCAGGCTTGGTGCCAGCACCATCATAACCAATCCTGTGTGCCAGGCGTGGTGCCAGCACCATCATAACCAATCCTCAGTGCCAGGCTTGGTGCCAGCAGGCTCGGGGTGTCTGCAGATGGGCACAGCACCCACCCTGCTCACGCTGAACATGAGGCAGGCCCGGGGACTGGAGAGCTCGAACTCAACACACCACAGTGAGGAACAGCTCAAAACAGGGATTGCTCTCCCTTTCCACTCATTGTCTTGCTGCTGGCACCCTGTAACTCTGMAATGGCACAGACACAGGAAACCTTTGCAGTCACAGAACCAAAGAATGGTTTGAGCTGAAAGGAACCTTAAAGCTCATCTCATTACACCCCATTGAAACCCTCCACTAGACTAGGCTGCTCCMAGCCCTGTCCTTGAATGCTTCCAGAGATGGGACACCACAACTGSAAGTTGTAGATCTTTCTTTAAACAGGTGGAGAGAAACTGCCATTTGATGTGATGGCAGAGTGCAACATCCCTCATTCCTGACAGCACAAATCATCTCATTAGACAATCAAGCTCAAAGAGAGTGAACTAAAGATCAGCAAAACCTGAACTGCAGCAGCTCTCAACTGAGCCAGAGGCAGTCCCAGGTGCCTGTGCTGAACTGGAACTTTCCTGTGACAGCAGTGGAACTGCCCACTCAGGGACACCCCACAGCAGTGACATTGACAGTGACAGTGCTGAACTGGCACCTTCCTGCCCACTCAGGGACACCCCACAACAGTGACAGTGACAGTGCCTGTCTCTGCTGGGGCCCCTCCAAGCACATACCCAGGTGCCTGCAGGTGACAGAGTGACAGTGACAGTGCTGAACTGGCACCTTCCTGCCCACTCAGGGACACCCCACAGCAGGGAGGGTGACAGTGCTGTCCCTGCCAGGGGCTCCTCCCAGCACACACCCAGGTGACAGCAGTGACAGTGACAGTGACAGTGCTGTCCCTGCCAGGGGCTCCTCCAAGCACACAGCCACGGGCACAGGAGGGCAAGGGAGGTTTATCGGGGCTGGCAGCCCATTCCTCCTCAGGGCCATTCCCAGAACTGTCCATCAGTGCCTGCAGCAGCCCATCAGGGGACAGTGGCACTGGGGCCACAGAGCCAGCACGGGGAGTCCTGGCAGAGCCTCACACACCAAACCAAGGAGAACCCGATGTACTGCAGTGTCCAGGGCACACCGTGAGTCACAGCACTGCCAACCCACACCAGGTTACCCTTGCACAAAGAAGGGAATGTCCTGCTGAGGGTTCCTGAGTCATTTCCAACACTTCCTCTGTGCCTCAGTTTCCCCATCCCTGGAACATCCTGGCATGAGCTGCTGGGTGAAACATTGCGAGGGGAGTTCTGACCGTGGTACTGTATAAAGGGGAAAAGGTAAATACTCCACTGAGGTGTTTGATGATCACTGAGCACTTCCATGAGCTCATTAATGCTGGCTTGTGCCAACAGGGAGAKTRGCAACTTGCTTTGAAGCAGGTCATSCTCAGTAGGGTGSAGAATGAGCCACAGCAGGAYCAGCTGAAAGGTTAATWGGAGGGGAGGGGGGAAACCAAACAGACCACACGCCTAAAACCATACCTGAAAKGCAAGAAATGATACCCAAGTGGCACATGCTTTTCCTCTGATACACATTTCCTGTYACAGGTTTACAAACAACTAAGGCAAAGCTGCTGAGAAGGTGTCCCTGTGCAGATGGTCCTTTCTTCTCAAGGCACTGCCCAAGGGAGCCCTGGCACAGCCATCAGAGTGACAATGTGACAATTCACAGCAGTGAATGACAATCAACAACTACATTTACCTGGTTGGTTCATTTTGTTCACTGTCTGGAGAGAAATATTATCCAAACACAGCCCATGAAGTGAACYCTGGAACAGAGCTCATGTGTGACCCTAACACCGTGCCATCCCAATCCTCCACGTGCTTCMTTGCTCCAAATCAGTTCTGGATTCCAAGCTCTGATCTTATCCACTTGGAGAGCTCTGTGAAGTCACTCACTATCACCACAAAGCAGTTGTAACTATTGCTGGTGTAAAGCCAACACATCCAYTGCTGTTTCAGGGCAACACCTGCAGCAGCTCCGACTGTGGAGCAGCAGGAACGGACTGCGTTACTCATTTTAACTGCTACAGTAAGAGCTCTCCTTACACAGCTAAGGAAAATAATAAACTGACAACAAAAAGT